GAAATAAATGCATTGTTTGCCATTTTCCAACATAATTAAAATGTAAAAATTAGACACAAGAAATGTAAATTAAGCCACATAACTGCTTACATAAATGTACATAGATATACTTTACCATCATGGTTAGCAAAAGAAAAAGCACCAAATTTAGTGTAAAGACTATATTTAGTTGCAAATCAACATTTTTTAAAAAAAGAAAAGGAGTACTTGTGGCACCTTAGAGACTAACCAATTTATTTGAGCATGAGCTTTCGTGAGCTACAGCTCACTTCATCGGATGCATACCGTGGAAACTGCAGTAGACGTTATATACACACAGAGACCATGAAACAATACCCCCTCCCACCCCACTGTCCTGCTGGTAATAGCTTATCTAAAGTGATCATCAAGTTGGGCCATTTCCAGCACAAATCAGGTTTCTCACCCTCCCCCCCCCCCACAAACTTACTCTCAGCTGTAATAGCCCATCCAAAGTGACACTCTCTTCACAATGTGTATGATAATCAAGGTGGGCCATTTCCTGCACAAATCCAGGTTCTCTCACCCCCTCACCCCCTCCAAAAACCACACACACAACTCAATCTCCTCTGTAATACTTATCCAAATACCACTCTCCCTACATTATAATCTTTCCTAATTTCCCCCCCACCCCCCCAAACCACTCTCCTCTTAATTTCCAAAACCACTCTCCTCAATATGTAATCAAGGTGGTCATTTCCAGCACAGATCCAGGCTTTCTACCCCCCCCGCCCCCGGAACACACACACACACACAATAAACTCACTCTCCTGCTGCAATAGCTCATCCAAACTGACCACTCTCCAAGTTTAAATCCAAGTTTAACCAGAACTCTGGGGGGTAGGAAAAGCAAGGGAAATAGGCTACCTTCATAATGACTTAGCCACTCCTATCTCTATTTAAGCCTAAATTAATAGTATCCAATTTGCAAATGAATTCCAATTCAGCAGTTTCTCTGAGTCTGATTTGAAGGTTTTTTGTTTTAAGATAGCGACTTTCATGTTGGTGATTGCGTGACCAGAGAGATTGAAGTGTTCTCCGAGTGGTTTATGAATGTTATAATTCTTGACATCTGATTTGTGTCCATTTATTCTTTTACGTAGAGATTGTCCAGTTTGACCAATGTAAATGGCAGAGGGCATTGCTGGCACATGATGGCATATATCACATTGGTGGATGTGCAGGTGAACGAGCCTCTGATAGTGTGCTGATGTATTAGGCCCTGTGATGGTGTCCCCTGAATAGATATGTGGGCACAATTGGCAACGGGCTTTGTTGCAAGGATAAGTTCCTGGGCTAGTGGTTCTGTTGTGTGGTATGTGGTTGTTGGTGAGTATTTGCTTCAGGTTGCAGGGCTGTCTGTAGGCAAGGACTGGCCTGTCTCCCAAGATTTGTGAGAGTGTTGGGTCATCCTTGAGGATAGGTTGTAGATCCTTAATAATGCGTTGGAGGGGTTTCAGTTGGGGCTGAAGGTGACGGCTAGTGGCGTTCTGTTATTTTCTTTCTTAGGCCTGTCCTGTAGTAGGTGACTTCTGGGAACTCTTCTGGCTCTATCAATCTGTTTCTTCACTTCCGCAGGTGGGTATTGTAGTTGTAAGAAAGCTTGATAGAGATCTTGTAGGTGTTTGTCTCTGTCAGAGGGGTTGGAGCAAATGTGGTTGTATCGCAGAGCTTGGCTGTAGACGATGGATCGTGTGGTGTGGTCAGGGGAAAGCTGGAGGCATGTAGGTAGGAATAGCGGTCAGTAGGTTTCCGGTATAGGGTGGTGTTTATGTGACCATTGTTTATTAGCACTGTAGTGTCCAGAAAGTGGATCTCTTGTGTGGACTGGACCAGGCTGAGGTTGATGGTGGGATGGAAATTGTTGAAATCATGGTGGAATTCCTCAAGGGCTTTTTTCCATGGGTCCAGATGATGAAGATGTCATCAATATAGCGCAAGTAGAGTAGGGGCTTTAGGGGACGAGAGCTGAGGAACGTTGTTCTAAATCAGCCATAAAAATGTTGGCATACTGTGGGGCCATGCGGGTACCCATAGCAGTGCCGCTGATCTGAAGGTATACATTGTCCCCAAATGTAAAAGAGTTATGGGTAAGGACAAAGTCACAAAGTTCAGCCACCAGGTTAGCCGTGACATTATCGGGGATAGTGTTCTTGACGGCTTGTAGTCCATCTTTGTGTGGAATGTTGGTGTAGAGGGCTTCTACATCCATAGTGGCCAGGATGGTGTTATCAGGAAGATCGCCAATGGATTGAAGTTTCCTCAGGAAGCCAGTGGTGTCTCGAAGGTAGCTGGGAGTGCTGGTAACGTAGGGCCTGAGGAGGGAGTCTACATAGCCAGACAATCCTGCTGTCAGGGTGACAATACCTGAGATGATGGGGCGCCCAGGATTTCCAGGTTTATGGATCTTGGGTAGTAGATAGAATATCCCAGGTCGGGGTTCCAGGGGTGTGTCTGTGCGGATTTGATCTTGTGCTTTTTCAGGAAGTTTCTTGAGCAAATGCTGTAGTTGCTTTTGGTAACTCTCAGTGGGATCATAGGGTAATGGCTTGTAGAAAGTGGTGTTGGAGAGCTGCCGAGCAGCCTCTTGTTCATATTCCGATCTATTCATGATGACAACAGCACCTCCTTTGTCAGCCTTTTTGATTTTGATGTCAGAGTTGTTTCTGAGGCTGTGGATGGCATTGTGTTCCGCACGGCTCAGGTTATGGGGCAAGTGATGCTGCTTTTCCACAATTTCAGCCCGTGCATGTCGGCGGAAGCACTCTATATAGAAGTCCAGTCTGCTGTTTCGACCTTCAGGAGAGTGGTCACTTTGGATGGGCTATTACCAGCAGGAGAGTGAGTTTGTGTGTGGGGGGGCGGAGGGTGAGAAAACCTGGATTTGTGCTGGAAATGGCCCAACTTTATGATCACTTTAGATAAGCTATTACCAGCAGGACAGTGGGGTAGGAGGGGGTATTGTTTCATGATCTCTGTGTGTATATGATGTCTACTGCAGTTTCCACGGTATGCATCCGATGAAGTGAGCTGTAGCTCACGAAAGCTCATGCTCAAATAAATTGGTTAGTCTCTAAGGTGCCACAAGTACTCCTTTTCTTTTTGCAAAGACAGACTAACACGGCTGTTACTCTGAAACCAACATTTTTGAATGATTCTCAACTAATGAGAATCAACCTATCATGAGGAAAATAACTAAAAAGTACAAATGCAAAACATGATTAAAATCAATGATTTAAATCAATCCACCCAGATGTCTACTTCTGGGATTCTGAATTTAGGAGACCAGACTGAGACCCTCATTGACTAGACACAGACAGGAAACCAGTAACAAATTCCAGTCCTGCTAGCGTCCAAGCCTCTAAATCTGAGGAACAATTGAAGGCAGCAGGAGACTGAGGGGTGCTGAGAATTTCAAAACCCAAAGATGTGATATTGGCTCTGGATGGGGGAGAAGCAGGAAATCATCAGGGATTCTTGATAAATCACCCATTGTCCTTTGGAGCTCAAAGGTGTCTAACACTCATGACCTACTCAAATCGCACTACTGCTAGGAGTTAGAGAAGTGTCTCTATCCCAAACAGAGGTGGTGAAACTGAGGTAAAGAGCAATGCTGTGGCCGAGCCAGAAAGAGAAGCATAAGAAAAAAACATTCATCAAAAATGTTTTGCATTTAAAACTACCCGATTTCTTAAAGAAAGGAAATATTAGCTGTAGTTAGTGAACTGAATTGATACATTCTGGTCACCATGTTCTTCCAGATTTTTCAATGGGTAGATCTCATCCCCTCACACCTAGTGTTTATTCCTAGATTGAAGGAAGCAAACAAGTTTGCCTTCTTTGCCAACTCCCAGTGTTCTTTTCAAATTCCATTAACTAGTCATTGAACTGAACTAGATGAATAAACTGAAAGGAAGAAACGATTCCTTCTGCACTTTCACAGGAAGGGCTGCTGCTGTCGAAAGCTGTTCTAGCACTTCCACGAACTCTGCTTCCGGGTGCTTCAGTCGTTTGACTCTCCTTAAAACTTGGCAGTAAACATGTCCTACTTAAGATGGATTTCTTTCTCGTCTCTTGAAATTATTTTAAGAGATGATAACAAATTTAGGCCTTAACATAGATTGTCAAATTCAAATTGAATTTGAAGCAGGCTTATTTTTAACGAAAAAACCCGTGGTGAGTTTAATTTGAAAAACCCGGTTCATATTTTAAAAACCCTCTATTGTTAATCCACCTGGCGAGGGACGGAAAAGCCTCCTAGCTCAATTCCCACCCCAAGAAGGGCTGATCCTCAATCCAAGGTCTAGGGCTGGGCTCCTCACTCTGTACAGGGTTGAACTGAAAGCCCAGATCTAAACTCTAGGAATTTGGATCTGACCGATGAGGGTCCAGTGCTGCATAGCACTTACAGAACGACTTTTCCTGGGTAAATCTCAGCACTTTACAATAAGTGAGTAAGTATTAGATCCTCATTTTACTGCTGGGGACTGAAACACAGAGAGGGGGAATGGCTTGCCCGAGGTCCCATAAGTCAATAGGAAAATGGCCACTGAAAGCCAGGAGTCCTGACTCCCAATCCCCTGCCTCGGTCACTCCAGCCGGTCACACTCCCTCTCAGAGCCAGCGGAGACTGGGAACAGGGTCCTGCTTGCAACTGCCAGCTCTGGAAAGGAACGTTCCTCTAGTGGTTAGTGTAGGGGCCTGGACACAGGGCTCCTGGGCTCCATCCCTGGCTCTGTCACTGACTCCCAGTGTGACCCTGAGGCAGTGGCTTCCCCTGCCCAGGCCACAGTTTTCTATCAGTGGGGTTGGAGTCCCTCCCCTACAGCCCTTGGCTTGTCAGGCTTCAGGAATGTGTGTGAGGTGCTAGGAGACCTTGAGATGGGAGGCGTCCTGCCCGCAGTATGTCAGTGTTCTGGACCCTGGCTGCTAGCCTGAGTTTATCCATCGTTTGGCAATAAAACATGATTTTGTTTTCACAGCCACTGTTGGTCTCCCTGCTGGCAGGGCATTGTGCAGCTCCCTTTTCAGCCCACCTTGGTGCGGGAAAGCGAGGAAGAGGGCCAGGAACAGACCAACTCTGAGCATCTGCCACCCAGCACTGCGCCATCTAGACCTAGTGAGTGGCAGGTAGCATTTCCTCAGAGGCTTCCCCGTTCTGCTTGGGGAGAGGCAGAAATGGTGGGAGGAGGAGGGGGGATCTCCTCCCAGTGAGACTAGATTTGCTAACACAGCCCCCTGCAGCCCTTTGCTCTGGGCCTGGGCAGCGTGTTTCTTGCAGGGTGTTCTCCAGAGCCATCTCCAGCCCAGCAATAGAGCTCCCAGCTCTTCCCTTGTAGGAGTCTCTGGGGGGTCAGACCCTGCCAGCTGCTGAACACCCACTTTCCCACTGAACTCTGTGGGAACTGAGGGGGACTCATGCCTCATATGATTGGAACCTTGTGAAGTTTAGCTGGGGACAAGTTCCCAGGGCAAACTCAGACTCCTTCCCGGGTTCTGGTCTTTCTCTAGCCAGGGAGGGCGTGTGGCCTGGGCGGGAGGAGGGAGCTGCTTGTCCAAACAGACTGAAAACCCCACTGCTCTGAAAGGATGAGACTCCCCCTGTGTCACAGTGCCTCAGTAGGGAGAGGGAGCTTTGGGAGCAGCCTGTGCTGTGAGCTGCTGCCAGCGTGTGTGTAGATTGTAGTCCCTGTGCCCCGTGGTGGGGCGTGCAGTGAGGGGGGAGGAGAGGTGGGACAGAGCAGACAGGCCCATTAGTGAGAGCCTGCCTTGACCCCAGACTCATGGCTTCTCCCCACTCAGTTCCAGGATGGAGAGGCTCAGGCCGATGATGGAGAGGCTCAGGCAAATGCTGCAGAAGAAGGCTGTGCAGCTCGACTCCAGAGCCAGTGGGAAGCAGCTGCCAGCTTCCCCAGGAGGAGAGCAGGCCCCTCTGTCCCCACTGGAGGGGAAGTAGCTTGTGGCCAGGCCAAGCGGTGGATGTGCCTGGCATTCTGGAGGAGGGAGACACCAGCTCCCAGAGGAGGCCCTGAGGCATCTTCTGGGGCAAAATGGAGGTGGCCCAGGGTGCAGCTGTGCAGGAGGGAGCTTGGTTTTTGGGGGGGAGCTCTTTCCTGGGGTTTTTGTTGGGGGTCTTTCCCCCATTCTCAGGGTTCCACCTGTTTCCCTATTTGGGGGTCGGGAAGGAATTTTCCTCCAGGGCAGATTGGAAGAGGCCCTGGGGGTTTTTCGCCTTCCTCTGCAGCATGGGGCACGGGTCACTTGCTGGAGGATTCTCTGCACATTGAAGTCTTTAAACCATGATTTGAGGACTTCAATAGCTCAGACATAGGTGAGAGGTTTATAGCAGGAGTGGGTATTCTGTGGTGAGATTCTGTGGCCTGTGTTGTGCAGGAGGTCAGACTAGATGATCATAATGGTCCCTTCTGACCTTAATATCTATGAGTCTATGAGGGTGGCTCTTGGGACAAAGATCAGGTTCCTGACGGAGAGCATCCCTTATCCCTGGATCCCAGCCCTGGCACTCAGACATTCTCATTGTACTGTGTTGATTTTACTCCTAGGAAAAGCAACGTCAAAGGAGGTGTAAGGATCCTGGACTCTATTGCCTGCAAGAAGCTTCAGCCACCTTCACAGGTAGAGGTCACTGTCTTTCATACAATTACACCAGTGCCCTTTCTGGTCTCCAGCTCTGTTCCCTCCAGCAGGACAGAGACAATCCTTAACTCCCAGAGTCCTGATTTCCTGCCTTTCCAGGGGCTGAGGGCTTGTATTGTCCCCACCCGGTCATCAGATACTTTTCCTATGGGAATCTCATGAGAGCAGAGAAGGAATCTCCTCTTCTCTTAGAACCAGTCTATTCAGTAAATCCACCCACAGTGACCTCATTTTAGCTGCTTTGTTTAGCTGAGATTAGCAGTATCTTCTGAAAACCCTTAGTGTGTGGGGGTGAGGTGGATCAGGGGAGACTGGAGCTCCAGCAGGTTCCCCTGAAGAACACCACCCTGTCTTTCTGTGGTCAGGCTGGGATGCGCTGTCTATCATGGAGGTGAAGACCGGAAGGGAGCTGCTGGATTGGCCTTGATATGCTGTGTCCTTGTACAGATGAAGGACCGACATCACAGAGATGGCAAGAAGCAAAAGATATACCACAGATGGCTGGGAATGGGCTGAACAACCTACAATGATAGGTAAGTAAAACCCTGGCCACATACAGACACCATGGGCATTGGTGTGGATTGAACCAGGGTCCATCAGCACAAGCCCCTCTCACTCAAGCTAAAGGGGTCACTCTAGGAGTGTAGGAGAGATACCGGGTGAGTCTGATGGAATGAATAGAAAGGGGAGCCTGAGCGGAGGTTGCTGGGTCCTTCCCAGTAGCAGCAGGATGCTGCAGGAAGAAGGGTCTGTAAGGTGGGAGTGGGAGGGGAGGAGCAGATGACTGAGGTGGAGATATTTTTACACAGGGAGATGTTTGCATAGGGAGCTTTGGAGGTAAGAAGGAGAAGTCCAAACTGGACATGGAAAAAGAGCAGCCAGAGCCAGACTTGGGAAAGTGGGGAAGACAGTACCAGGAGAGGAAGATCATCTCAGCAACTGCAGTTTGGATGGCTGGCAGCGGGGAGGGAAATTCACCAGAACGGCCAGGGCGAGGTGCCTGACTAGCGGTGAGTGGAGAGACCCGTTACAGAGCATGCTGCAAAGCCAGCAATCCCGTGCTACTGCAGATGCAGAGTCGTTGTCTTTCTCCCCCTACACTGCCAATGGAGGGAAGCGTCTGACCCTGTGAATTTCTCCCTGGCTACAGATAACCCATCCTTGCTCTCAGTGAAATGCTATGGTGTACTGTACACAGCATGCATGACACTCAACCTCAGAATGCTGTTAGCACTGTTGTGGGGTGATGGCCAAATATCATTGATGAGCATTGCTCTCTTAGGCCCCTTTCAGAGTGTATTGAGCCTGTGATGAGCCAACCTTCCCTCCCCCATCCCCACAGGGCTTGGCTCACAGAAACTCTCAGGGAATGGGTTCCTCCACCACAAGCCGGGGAGTGGAGCTAAGCTGCTCCAGGGTTGTACTGCAGCCTCAGGGCTATAGTGGCATGTTCCAGTGAGAGAGGGGCTGTACCAATGGGGCAGGCTGCATCTCAGAAGTGGGGGATAATCTCACGGTTTGGAGACTAGTGACGCAGCTGGGAGGACATTCCTCTAACAGTACAAAGGGAGGGTACTAAGTTGTCAAATGGGGTTCTAACTCAGGGTGTTGGGAAGATATTGACTAGAGGTGGTAAAGAAATGTGAAGAGAAGAAACTGAATTGTTTATGCACCATTGCTAGGAGACTGGGTAAGAAGCAGGAGGAACTAAACGTTCTCATTGATAACTACATTTGATAGAGTTGGTATTATTGAAACCTGGGGGCATGACTTGCATGACTGGACTGTTAAAGTCACCTGCTGCAGTGGCCGCCTTGTGTCTGGCATTTCCCAACTTTTGAGTGCTTGACTTTGCAACCGGAATGATTTTCGTGTTGCTTCTCTCTGTGTGGGTGATCAATATGCAGAACTTAGAACTTTAGCAAGATTCTGGATTCCTGGCTGTGCTACAAGCACTGCTTATATCAACTGTCCCTATATGCTGAGTGTTCAACCCTGCTGGGTCTGAGAGCCGAGTCTGCCCTTCCTTCTTCAAACCCGCAATCGTCCAATCAACACTGAAGAAAGCAACCTTTTCTCATATCAATGGATAGCTACAAGTATTTTCTATTTTTAAACAAGGCACTACCCCAACTCGACACACGTGTGGTTACGGTCCTTAATGCACTACTGGAAGGTGCTCAGATACTATAGTGATTAGCACAGTATAAAAACCTATAACTAGGGCCTTATCAAATGCACAGACCATTTTGGTCGATTTCAATGCCATGGGGTTTTTTAATTAGTCAATTTCATGGGTTCAGATATTTACATCTAAAATTTCATGGTGTAACGGTGGGGGTCCTGACCCAAAATTGAATAATGGCGGGGGGGTTGTTTGAAAGTTGTTCTGGGGGGCGGGGGGGTCACAGACTGCCACTCTCACTTCTGTGCTGGGCTTTGAAGGCAGCAGCCACCAACTTTCCTGAAGCTAGAGGAGGTGGGTCGCAGCTGCTGGGAGTGCCTCAGCTGGTGGCCCCTAGCTGCTAGTCCCTTGGCAGATTAACACAGGGACCCTGACAAAATCCGCAGGGGGCAGAAGCCCCTAGCAGGGTGCCCTGAGCCCCAGGTGGAGCTGCAGGGTGGAAACCCCAAGCCCCAGCTGCAGCCACCTGGTGGAAGCCCTGAATCGGGGCATCCAGAGCTGTGGCAGGAGTAGGGTGGGGGGTGGAAGCCCCAAGGCTGGTGTCCAGAGCTCTGGCTGCAGCCACAGGGGCCAGGAGCCCTGAGACCTGGCAACCCAGCTCCAGTCACCATGGTGCCTTTGTCATGCAGTGATTGTTTTGGGCAGTCTGTGTATTTGTTTTCCCGCTCCCCCCCATAACTGAAGGTTATCAAGGGGCATTTGAAGGTGACCTGTATATGTTCTATTTCATGTCATTGCATTCAGAATTCCAAAGTTTGCAGGGATTCTTTAAAAGCATGTTTCCCTTCCCTCGACATTCTGTCATGGTCGCCACAATTGGTTCCTTTAAAACAGCAAGGGCAAAACTTACCAGTGTTTGTTATGAGTTGAATAAACTGGTTATTTTTCAGAAAAGCTCTTTGTTTTGCACTGCACAGTGTTCAAACTTATCCACTTTGCCCTCTACCGTTCCCCTCCCAACACACACCCCCTTCCTCCCCCCTTCTCTTTTTACATGTAGGAAGCGGTTGAAGAGGGGATCACAGACCCGTGTTGGTAAGATGTTAGAGGTTAACAAAACACATGTGGCGCATATAATCAGCGAACGCAGAGTGGATTTACAAGTTAAACTGGGGTCACCGTACTGTTAAAGTTTCACCACGTCCACTGCCTCCAGTTCTGGTGCAATTATAGATGTTAGAATTTGGTCTCTGCAGGGTTCGGTGTATGGCTCGGTATGTATATCCGCCAAACCCTTTCAGTGAATAAATCCCTTCTGCATAATATTGCTTCATTCCTCGCCTGCCTGGGCTGATCCTGGTCATACTTCATATTCTTTTATATCAGTGGGCTGACCACGCAGGATATTGGATCGCTCACCTTCAGATATCCTGGTTGCAGGATTCATAATTGAATGTTGTGCCAACCCCCGCACCCCCATCTCTGCTGGTTGATCTCCTAAGGTAGTGAGCCTGCACCTATTACTCTCCGGGGCCGGCATTTGTCCCTTTGCTTACGTGGGTCTGGCAGCTCCTGATACAAAACCCAGGTACACACACAGGGGTGTTCCACCAATTTATAGCAAAGAATATTACGCAAGGGGATGGGAACAAACCAATCAGCCAAAATGGGGATGAGAAGCTTAGGAGAATTTAACAACTGTGAAACAATAGGACAATCCCTTCCCCCACCTCTGGAGGTGACCTAAACCTTCACCCCCAACCAGAGACCTTGAATCCCACCAATGCACACAGGTGACCAGATGTCCCAATTTATAGGGACAGTCTCGATATTCAGGGCTTTGCCTTATATCAGTGCCTATTACCCCCACCCTCATCCTGATCATTCACATTTACTGGGTGGTCACCCTTGGTGCACACTGAGCTGAGATGCAAGCTGTTTACTAAGAAACTGAGGCATAGTCTACACTAGAAAGGGGTTGCTGGTATTAAAGTGTCATAAAAAAATCACACCCTTGACATTATAATACTGTCAAAAGTTGGTACTGTGGACCTTGCCCAGAGTGATCACTCTCTGAAGCTCACTTGGAACTGTTAACACAGTAATTTAGGGTATCCCCATATAATAGCCCTGACTTATTTCTGGAAATAAAGAACTCTCGCCTGTCTTTCAGCAAAGAGTTAAGCTAAGGTGCAGGAAAAAGGGAGTGTTTCCTAATTGCTATACATACATAACTTTTCTGTAAACAGTCTGTGCACCTATCAATATTAACTCCTCAGTTCCCAGAAAGTTACACTTGCACCCACGATTACATCAGGTTTAACTTGCATGACTGCTGAAGGAATAAAAAAACCCTCCAGCCATTTTTTCTTTTTAAAGATATTTCCTGCCTTTTCTTGTCATGATATTATCCTGTATGTCTGCTCTAAATTTCTTTTTTGCAGATTCTACTGATTTACATCATACTCTGTGGTTTTGACAAGTTACACTATGATTTTTTTTTAACATTTCTTACTGTCCTTGTGCTGTTACATTTCATGCTCCCAGTAATTATTTGTGCACTTTGGTAATTTCATATGTGAGCTCATTAATTCAAATAACACTTTATTTTCATTTAGGAACATAGCTCTAATATCCCTTTGGTAGCATTGGCATGCCCTGTGAATACTGTATTGTTCAGTGTGCCTTATTATGATCACGTGTCTGAAAAGAGTCTGCTTACTATGTGTATAGATATTCTATCTTTGCAATTATCAAAATATGTCAATAATACATGAAATATCTTCTGTGACAAATACGTAGGGAAATCTGTTGAGGATCGAACTGTGCAGGCTTTGCAATACAAAAAGAATAACATACATTTTGAAATCATGAATAAAAAACAGAACCTTAGCTTGCGTCAATATTCCGCTGACTTTCATTGGAAGGCGAGACATAATTTTTAATTGTTTCAATTGCAAAATATAATTAAATCTTCAGCATATAGATGATGGGCCTGTTCATTAACCACTGAAGTTATCTGGCATTGTAAAATTAACATCAGTGGAATTAGGAGCACAATCCACACAATAAGGTTTTAGTCTTAATAATCAAGCCCTTAAGGCTTATATGGATGTATAACTTCTTATGTACATAATCTCTTAAAACTAAGTAATATTTTTAAACTGCAATAATATATGTCATCATTACATCTTAATCTTTTGTGGGTAGCAGAAAGGGAACTTTTCCTTAAGGTAAAAAGTTGAAAGTTGTGTACACCAAAAAGGAAGCCTTAGAACTGTTCCAAATGTACCATGACAGTTCAATAGGTGTACGTAGTGTTGACTGGATTTTATACTTGGCCAGAGGACAAGTCTCAGGAACGTCTCCTCCCTCCCAAGTCTATCATCAGGGTCTTACTACCCCCAGAGGAAAAACTGATAACGGATAGGGTGCAAAACAAGAACAGGTTGATTGGAATAAGGGTAAGACTAATTCATGTGACAAAGTTCCTCCTCTGCCTTGGTAGGTCCTGCACTTATTGACGTATTTGCTTGCCTCAGAGATTCACGGCCGCCCTCAGTTTGGCCAATTTTGCTAGTGGCTCAAACCTGCCATTCACTCAGCTAACCTCATCACTGGCCAGCATGAGGAAAGGGAGGAGAACAATCCCTGCAGTCTCTGCTGACCCACCTACTGGGTGGCGGGATAGGCCAGGGACCTTCCCCTCTGGTGGGACCCACAGTCCAGGTCACCTCCTCTTGTCTCCAATCGGGAGTTGAGGGGAATGGGGGGAACCCAGGCCCACCCTCTACTCCGGGTTCCAGCCCAGGGCCCTGTGGATTGCAACTGTCTACAGTGTCTTCTTGTAACAGCTGTGCGACAGCTACAACTTCCTGGGCTACTTCCCCATGGCCTCCTCCCGACACCTTCTTTACCCTCACTGCAGGATCTTCCTCCTGAAGCCTGATCACGCTTGTACTCCTCCATCCTCCAGCAGCACGCCTTCTCACTCCCTGCTCCTTGCACACCCGCCCCTAACTGATGGGAGGTCCTTCTTAAACCAGGTGTCCTGATTAGTCTGCCTGCCATAACTGAGTCTAGCATGTTCTTAATTGGCGCCAGGTGTCTTAATTAGCTTGCCTGTCTTAATTGGTTCTAGCAGGTTCTTGATTGCTCTAGCGCAGCCCCTGCTCTGGTCACTCAGGGAACAGAAAACTGTTCATCCAGTGGCCAATATATTTGCCTTCTACCAGACTTCTGTACCTCACTGCTCTGGGTCTGTCACACTCAGGTAAGTAACAGGTAGGTAACTATAAGGACTCCCAAATTATAACTGAGAAAACAAGGGAACCGAATATAAAAGGGCCACCGGCTGTGACAAAAAGGGCTTGGCTCCCTTCCAAAGCCTGATTCCGGGTAGGTTACATGGAGGACAAATCCATATCCTGAAGCTTTATCCCTGGCACCGGTGCATGACAGGGCTGGCTCCAGTCCCGATCCGGATGGTAAGGCAGGTGGAGGGCAGGACCTCAGGCACAGGCTGATGGAAGCTCGGTCTTGTTTTTCTTGCAGCTCTTCTTCCCTGCATCATCGTGGGTGGATGCCTGAGGCAGGATCAGAATGGCAGATGATGGCTTGTTCTTGCATGCAGGTAAGAAACACTCCCTACAACCCTATGCGTGGTACTGATGTCAACCCTCCAGGGTAAGCAGTAGCACTCTGCCTCTCGGAAGCAGCATGTGCTCCTGCCACTGCTGCTGTCCATCTAAGATGGGCAGCCCCGTCTGCCAGACGTGCTGGCCCTTTTATAACATACAGTTGCTGGGCAGATTACCGATCAGGTGATCTACCCAGTTTCCCGCCTTAGGGCAAAAAGGGAGCCAAAGGCGTAACAGGGGCTGAGAAAGAAGGGCAACAAGTATGGATTCCCTGTTGTTGTTAAAGGGATCCAAGATGGTGTAAGGGATATAACAGCAAAATAAAACTTTTCTCCCAACAGTAGTGGAATATTCAAAACAAGACTGATTGCCATATTTGGGGTCGGGAAGGAATTTTCCTCCAGGGCAGATGGGCAGAGGCCCTGGGGGTTTTCGCCTTCCTCTGCAGCGTGGGGCACAGGTCACTTGCTGGAGGATTCTCTGCACCTCCAAGTCTTTAAACCACGATTTGAGGACTTCAGTAGCTCAGACATAGGTGAGAAGTTTGTTACAGGAGTGGGTGGGTGAGATTCTGTGGCCTGCATTGTGCAGGAGGTCAGACTAGACGATCATAATGGTCCCTTCTGACCTAAATATCTATGAATCTATGAATTCAAGTTATGACTGGCTTGGAATGACAAATGACATCAAAGAGTGGATATTGTAACTAAAACAAAATTCTCAAATATTTAATTTTAATTTAGATTCCACTTAAAATTAATTCAGAAAGGAACTACGTTTATACATTAGATGTGAAAATGTAAGCTCTCCCTCCTTGCCATAATTTTTTCAAACATGTATGTTGATGATATTGCATGTGCTTTTCAAAACTAGGACACGAGTGGTTTGCATTATCAGAAAGGAAGAAAATAATTTCATCTAGATATCATCTTGCAATGCATTAAGGTGCATTTTAAACTTGTACATGTCTCCTACCTATATTAATTAACAAATGTGGTTATGACCTCATTCACAAAGCATTATGAATGTTTTGATTGCAAACTACAGCAACATGATAGGCAGTATGAATTTTTTCCTGAAAAACAACTCAGAAAACATGTAAACAGTAACCAGGCTAACCATATATTTATTATTGCAACAGAGTAAAGCATCTAATTGTCAGTAACAAGTCAACACCCTTGCTACTGAGACAACTCAGTGCCACAATGATTTCCATTGCTCACTACGCTGGCCCAGCACATTCATTCAGAATTCAATAGAACTCATTGTGGAATTGTGTTGTCTCAGTTACAAGCAGGTGCTCTTGTCAGTCCTGGATCCAGTACTATTCAATATTTTCATTCATCAGATGGATGATGGAGTAGAGAGTGTGCTTATAAAATTTGCAGATGACCTCAAGCTGGAAGGGGTTGTAAGGACTTTGGAGGATGAATTTGAATTGAATTAGAATTTGAAATGATCAGGATTAATAAACTGGAGAATTAGTCTGAATTTAACAAGATGAAATTCAATAAAGATAAGTGCACAGTACTTCACTTAGGAAGGAAAAATCAAATGCATAACTACAAAATGGGGAATAACTGGCTAGGTGGTAGCACTGCTGAAAGGATCTGGGGGTTATAGTGGATCACAAACTGAATAGGAGTCAACCATGTAATCTAGTTGCAAACAAGCTACTATCATTCTGGAGTGTGTTAATGGGAGTGTTGTATATAGGACATGGAAGGTATTTATCCTGCTTTACCCTACACTGTTGAGGCCTCAGCTGGAGTACTGTGTCCAATTCTGGGCACTGCACTTTAGGAAAAATGTGGACAAATTATTGCAAGTCCAGAGAAGAGCAACAAAAATGGTAAAAGGTTTAGAAAACCTGACCTATGGAGGAAAGGTTAAAACATGGAGCACATTTAGTCTTGAGAGAAGAAGACTGAAGGGAATCTGATAAGTCTTCAGATAAGTTAGAAAGAGGATGGTGATCACTTGTTCGCCATGTCCACTGAAGGTGGGAAAAGAAGTTATAAGCTTAATCTGCAGCAAGGGAGATTTGGGTTAGATATTAGGATCAACTTTTTAACTATAAGGGTCCTTAAGCTCTGGAATATGCTTTGAAGGGAGGTTGTGGAACCCCCATCATTAAAGGTATTTAAAAACAGGTTGGACAAACACCTGTCAGATTTACTTGGTCCTGCCTCAGAACAGGGGGTTGGATTTGATGCTTTTTTTAAGGTCCTTTCCAGCCCTATCTTTCTGTGAATCTATGGAAGACGTAAATTGTGGGGTTGTTGACTAGCCTTATACCTATGTTATGTACTTTTGAAAAAGGGCTAACTATTGCAAAAATCACTTTGTTCTCTTTGCTCACTACGTTACCTTATAAAAAAGATCCTTGGAAGAATTCAAATTATAATTCTACTCTATATTAATGCACATACATCATTAAACCATGGGAATTGGTTGGAATGGACTTAATCAGACCATTCAGAGCAACAGAGAAAGGGTACTAGTATATATTGCTACTAATTTTACAAGATGAGTGAAAGCATTTTCAATTAGAAACAAGGAAGTACATGATGTGGCAAGGAAGGTCTGTGAAGTTATATAGTGACCTGCATGTCCAGACGGGATATACACAGATCATGGTTCCAAGTTCAATAATTAGGTAATGATTCACATTAGACAAATCATTGTAATTATGCATAACATAAATACATACATTAGAAGGAAAGTTTATTGAAAATGTTTCCCCCCCCAGCTTTCCCTGTGTGAAGCACTGAAGATAGAACATAGCTTCACAACCCCATACCAAAGGTAATTTTAGGGAAAATATTTAAAAAGTACTCGTGGAAAGTGTAGCTGAGGCCTGGCCTGACATGAGTAATTAACACATAGGGAGAGGCCTTATTTTGTGGAAATAGGATTTTGGGAGGTAAATGAATTATTAGGCTGAAAACAGGACATTTGTGCTAAATAAGAGAAGTAAATAGGTCAGTAGTCTAAAAAGACAGTGTGTCTGAGCCAGCTAAGATAAGAGGGAGAGCACCCGAACTATTTACTATGAACTAGAAACAAGACAAAATAAGTTAAGACTATCGAGATGAGGTAAAGAGGAACATGGACAGCACGTGGACAGAGCATGCTGCAAAGAAACCAAACCATTCCAAAAATGTATGATGCAATTCATAATAAATGCAATGGGATGTGTAAATGTATATAAAAAGAGAGTTCCTGTGTAACTTTAGGGCTGTGATATACCCTGCATCCACCCTCCTGAGTTTGAGTCTGATCAACTCAGTGTAGCATTGGTGTGTGCCAAATAAAAAATATCTGAGTGACGAAGTCTGGACTTGAATTGAGTTCTTGGGGAAACCAAGTGGAAAGAGGTCTTGGAGGGAATCCCAACAGTAAGTAAAGGGGACTGTGTCATAAATTGAATATTGTGAGCAAATCTTCCAAATTGAATTATTCCACTGAAAATGTTACTATCTTCTGAAATCTAAAACAGAAATTAGTCCTAGCAATATAAAATGTGCGGTGCTTCCACTTAACATTTTGCAGAGTCTATATCAAGCAGATAGCTCCAGACATTTTCTTAAGTACTTGTTTTAACAAACTGAGTTATCCTTCAATGTTTAGAGTGTTAAAGCAGATGGCTAACCAAGAGGACTAGGATGAATTTTTGGACTAACTTTATTTTGTTTGGTTTCAGAGTAGCAGCCGTGTTAGTCTGTATTCGCAAAAAGAAAAGGAGGACTTGGGGCACCGTAGAGACTAACCAATTTATTTGAGCATAAGCTTTCGTGAGCTACAGCATCCGATGAAGTGAGCTGTAGCTCACGAAAGCTGATGCTCAAATAGATTGGTTAGTCTCTAAGGTGCCACAAGTCCTCCTGTTCTTTTGTTTGCGATTGAAACAGTAGATGTCAACAAAAATAGCACCCCTTCGTCATAGATATGGCTGAGAAGCCAGGTTTCCAGAGGAATTTTCATCCTATTACTTGGTATGTGTCTTAAATCACTAGTAGCTTTAATACAAGTTAATTTGTTGTTGTTCAGTTACAGAACACAAACCGGTTTCCATTTCTTGACACAGTCAGAAATGTTCTGGTGTCCAGATAACCAGATACACCAGTAGTATTGCACTACCCTGTAATAAAAAATGGACACTGACAGTCGAATGGCTGTAAACAACAACTCCAGAACAAAAGACAAACAGCAAAAAGAATATTATCAAAGAAACATTTCTAGATATGGAAAAATAAAATTCGACTCTGGGGACCATATTATGTTACTCAATTCAAGAACAAAAACAAGAAATGGAGGACAGCTGCAACCCACTTACAGAGGATATACAAAATACCTAATATGGATTAATGATTAAATGAGAAATCTTATCAGGGAAGAGATTATGATCAATGCACAGTATCTACAAATCAAAACCCTTTAAAAAAGACACCAGTAATATGTACAGGAAATGAAGCATCAGACGAAGACATTGAAACAGAAAGTGGCGTGGGTGGTACTGTGACAACAATACTCCCAGAAGTTATTAAAAAAATGTGCTTATGCATCTTTGAACCCTGATGAGAGCATGGGGTCAAACTGGGAGGTTGAAGAGATGGACTGTATGGCTGCAAAGTTACAAGCAACAGTTCTAGCAAACGTAAAGATATGGTTATGGAATATTTGGAAGAGAAGGCATGGTATCAGAAAGGTAAGTTCTTGAAAAGTTGATGTACTGTCTCAATAATATTTGGAAATTTCATCAGAATTATGTGGCATGGTATGTTTTTAATTTATGAACATCAACAAAGAAATGCATTTGACTTCTTTTCTAGTGAAATGTATGCAATCCCACCAAGTTAAAGGCAGACTGGAGGCAAACGTGAGACAATTCAACTTGTATGAATCTTCATGCTGTGGGTCAACAAACTGGCTGGATGATAAGA